TAACTACGACCACTCCGCACATTCATGTACGCACACACATACACACACACACACATACACACACATACACACCCAGCATACACACACACGCGCGCGCGCGTGCAAACAGGCACACACACGTGCAAACACACGTACAAACACACAGACACACACACAAGCGCACACACACACACAAGCACACACACACACACAAGCACACACACACATACACGAGCACACACACACAAGCACACACACATACACACACACACAAATACACACACACATACGAACACACAAACATTAACTACAAAATACATCAACTTGCGGTACGGGGGGGGGGGGGAGCCGGCCAGCGGAGTGAGAGGCTACGGAAAGAAATGCGTAGACACTGCGGAGCAGAATGTTGGCGGAGCCAAGTATCTACGAGCGAGGATTCAAGGTCGGCTGGGTAGACACTGCCGGAGCAGAATGTTGGTGGAGCCAAGTATCTACGAGAGAGGATTCAAGGTCGGCCGGGTAGACACTGCCGGAGCAGAATGTTGGTGGAGCCAAGTATCTACGAGAGAGGATTCAGGGTCGGCCGGGTAGACACTGCCGGAGCAGAATGTTGGTGGAGCCAAGTATCTACGAGAGAGGATTCAGGGTCGGCCGGGTAGACACTGCCGGAGCTCTACGAGAGAGGATTCAGGGTCGGCCGGGTAGATACTGCCGAAGCAGAATGTTGGTGGAGCCAAGTATCTAGAAGTGTCTGCATCCAAGGGACGGCGACCGAAGGCCCTGAGTAGCCGGAAATGAGCGTGGCCATCACTTTATCAAAGCAAATTACCGTATTTCCCCGTAAGTAAGTTCTCCCCAATGACTTAGTACCCCCCCCCCCCCTATAAACAATACACTTTCCACAGCCGAGGTTATCACCCCGAAAGACAGTTCCCCCGAAAGATAGTAAGTTCGTACCCGTCCTACATGTACAGACACCGTACAGTACATACATCATATGCACGGACACTAGAGTTGTGCAGGCTTCCCACTGCGTGTCATTTACCCCCGATAAAAATGTACTCCCCGAAAGATAGTACCACCCCCGAAAGTTCGAACTCATGCGGCTGCTATGTTCGAAAGTTAGTACGTACTAACTTACGGGGAAATACGGTAGTGTTGAGAAATGGGAGGTGGGAGGGTGAAACACTACGAGCAAGCAAAAATGATCCTCACACAGAACGGATCGAAATATGTAACGGAGAAAACTCTAGCATGTCATGCAATGATGCATGTCGCCCACGTTGAGCGCTACATGCTAACGCCATCATGACGCCGCGCCACACGCTGCCCACATCGGAGGCGAGTGTCACGTATAAACGCCACATAGAGAGACAAGTAGTTCAATGTCATGTAGAGAGACGCATTCAATATCACGCAGAGCGCCAAGCC